AACATATGCTGGGCAGATGTTGGAAAATTCCCTTCCACCTTAAGGAGCAGACATGGGATTGTTACGTGTCACATGTCTGTTTATGTTCCAGCACAGTCTGCTGGGAACTTCCGTTTGTGTATAGCTTTTGTTTGACTCTGTTTCTCTGAGGAGAAGAAAGGGAGACGACATGTTTTCTTTGTCCTGATTTAGGCTTTAGCTGTTAGTATGTTTCCACAAGCCTCACGCCTGTTCTGTTTGCGCAGTATGCTCTGCTAATATAGCGTGCTCTGGCTTTTGAAGTCTGAGTCACTGATTTACGTCGCACCAGAGATTGGGGGATCGTCACAGCTGGAAAGGCATGATCCAGCTGGGATCTCGATCCCCAAAGGATGCCGACAGCAGAGTCCTGTGGGCCAGATAGAGAAACTTGGAGGGTCACATCCAGCCTGCAGATCTGAAGTTTCCACCCCTGGTGTACAGTCATCAAGCAGTATAGATTGAAAATATGTATTTGCTGCTATCATCTACAAAAGCATATAACTTAGGGGAAAGGTTCATATTTTCAGCAAGTTTTGCTAGCTGTTTCCAGACAAAAAATATCTCAATATAAGCAATTATTTGAAAGGGCTCTTAAACAGAGCTTTATCAGATTTCTTATATCAAGCTGTTTTGTTCTAATGACACGGAAAACCAGTCTCTCAAATAAGTTTCATGCTACCGAAATGTTTTTCAACCAATACTTCACCTTGTAGTTAACACCACCGGTGGGAAAACATATGAAGTGGGACTGTGCTATTGAATGACATTCTGCAGTCAGACAAAGAAAACACTTTCTCCACTCTCCAGCACTGTATCTAGATAGAAGATCAAATTGACACATGGCTTACTGAATCTGAAGTCAGCAACTTGCTGATCCTGAAGTGTGATTACCTGCAGAGAAAAGCGTTCTTATACAGCCTGCTAAAATCTGCAAACCAGAAAAGTAGAAAAGCACACCTTACAATCCTGGTGTGTCTTCTTCATTTCAAGTGCTACTTCCTTGAATTTCACCTCACCAAAATAATTGAGATCGGCTTGATAAAAACTCAAGTTGACTCAGCATGTTCTGCCAAGTCCTCACAGCTCTACCCGAAAAGGTCTAGCCAAGGCAAACATCTCAGTGAGATCTCACTACGGGCTATTGAGCCATGAGACTATAGACATAATAATATCCATCCTTTGCCAATTGAAAAACATTTATTACGTAGTTCATGACACAACACAGATGGGGCTTGTCAACCTCGGAAGGTAGCCCATCTAGGAAAAGGAAAACTCTGATCAGAAACTTTAACTGCTTTGTGGGATATCTTTGGGAGAAGAAAAGGCTAAGGAGTAAACCCTGCAAAAATCTGAAGCTGAGTTAGTAAGATGGTTGGATGGCGCCTTGTACACATCCTTCTGGCAGCTCCTGCAGCCAAGCTGGTGCCAAGCGTATTACTCTGCTTCCCTTTGGACCACATCAGCAAGGCTGAGAGGAGGGTGGGTGTTTTCCAGCACACCTCCATACACACTGCCCAGGCTTGTTCCCCAGGGAGGTCACTTCAGTGCTGCTAACACAGTGATTAGACTTCACCCCTAGAGGTCCAGTCCAATGTCTCTCGAGACAGACAGATATCCCCTTCCAATACATGGTATAGCCAGGCTAGCTTCCTGGTGATATGATGGGCCTTTAAGGGGAACAAAGGAAAGGACTCTGCACGAGATGGCAAATGGGTGGTGTACCCCCCCCCCCAACTCATAGGTAGTTAGAAGGACAAAAACAGGATTGAGCGTTGAGTGATGTGAGCTAAGAGCAAAGCAGCAAACTGGGAAGCCAGAGAGAGAGAGAGATAGATCCATGTCTGATTTCTGTTTGAATCCAATGCTGTGGCTATGGAGGAAGCAAGGTCCTCTTGACGGGGGGATAATGCTGTGAACCCCTCCATCATAGGTTCAAGTTGTAGATATGTGTATATCATAAAGACACTGCAGTCTTCACTGTGCCTCATTCCAAAGGAAATGTGCACCCTAGGAAAGCACCTGGAACCCTAGGAATCTTGCACCGCTCAGAAAATGGGGTGGTGTGCAACAATATACATACATGTCTCATGATGCCCAACATACTCAAGAGCATAAACTGAGAAAGATTCAACCCACCAGAAATCTGAAATGGCACCACGCAAACAAATTTTAAATAGAAATAGCTGTTTGATCATGAGGCATCAAATGAGAGCTGTGTTATTATTAATGCCAAACACATCTAAAAGTTAACAGAAAGGCTTGCAGGCAGTCTAAAAAAGCGTAAGGTGTTTACAGTGGCTCAAACACTACAGGATTTTAATTAGCTCACCCCAAACAGATGCAGGATTTAGGATGCCTGGGTGCAATAATACCTTTACTGCAGTGTATGTGTTCAGAGGATGTGCAGAAATCTCATGCCAGAGACGTTATATGGTACTGAAAAGCCCTCTCAAGTTTAAACATGGAAGGATATTAAATGCTTCGTTACAACTCGGCTCTCTTCCCACTAAATCTCTTTGCTCTCCTTTCTTGGCAGTATTCATTGACTACAGCAAACTGAAAAGCCATTTTGTCCATGGTCCAAAGGTTACATTTTAGTTGTATTGAGTTTCAGATACCAAATTAGAAAGAAAGGAAAAGGGCATAAGTAGCACTCCTCATATGCACAGACATACAGCACTGGGGTGGGGAGGCAACAGGGGCAGCCATCTACCCCTGCTCCTGAAAATGCCACCAGGCATAATGTAGCAGTGATGTGGATTTTCCAGAAAATGTTGGAATTAGAAACATTTCTGGAAACATTTCCTATGCAAATTTGCATATGGTACTTTGCATCAGAGCATTTTTAGTTTGTATCATAAAATTTCCAGTTTGCATCAGAAATATTTTCTAAAGCCCGAGGGAGTGATATAGTTTAGCATGTTTAATTTAGTTTTATTTAGTCAACTAAAACTTTCTGATAAATCCATCAGTCTTGTATTTGCAATTCATCAAGAAAGAGGTTAATTTAACTCAGGCATAGACAAACTCGGCCCTCCAGATGTTTTGGGACTACAACTCCCATGATCCCTAGCTAACAGGACCAGTGGTCAGGGATGATGGGAATTGTACACGTACTTGTAATTTCTATTGTCTAATCCCTTGTTTATTTCTTTTGATTATTACTTTAATGCTTAAAAATAATAACAATGCACAGTTTAAGAAAAATAATAAATGGGTTTAGTAATAACCATTATACCATATTTTCTTATCCCCAATCAGAACTTTCCCCCCTTCCAGTAGCTTTCGATACATATTTTAGCCACTAGCAAAATATAAAAATTCTAAATCAGTACTAAATGTGATGTTGAATAATAGTTGTATGCAGAGTAGATTCATTGAATTTAATTTCAATGGGTCTACTCTGAGTATGGCATAGTTAGTTATCACCCTAAGTTATTTACATAACACAATGGGATTTGTTATTACTGTTTGCTGCTTTGGGCACTTGGTTATAAATGTATCTGAATAATTCTATTGATTTTGATGTGGTTAACTTCCAAATAAACAGCATGTTAGGATTGTAGCCTGATCTTAACTTCTGGTTAATTATTCAGTTATAAATTGTATGTTAAAAGTGATTTTCTTTCAATAATCCACAAGTATTCAGCAATTGTGGGGTGGGCTACTGGTTTGGGGGCATACTTGCCCCCCACATCAACTCCCTCTCTGGTGCCACCTATGTCTACATTCAAACTCACATTATTATAATTTTTAAAAACTTGCTGCAGTTGACTTATCTGTGTGCTTTTGTTAATTATTATAACAAAGAATACTGACAAAAATAACATCAGAAGACTATGGGCTGCATTAATAAATCATGTTGGCAGATCACTGAGAACTGTAAATAGATCAACAGTTTTTAGAAGAGGTGGTACCTGCTAATGGCTTACGACAAATCAGTGAAAACAATTAGCACCTCTTAACATATAAGGCACTAAGTGGGTTTTAACAGTTGCATGTGACACTAATTGCTTGGTAGAAAAACATTTGTATTTGTATGTGTGTGTGTGTTTTTCTTAATATGTCCAATTCATAGCATTGTAGGGACAATAGAGTAACAACTTAATTAAACAGCAACAAAAAGGAAATGTCCATGTATGAGCCATCTGACAATGACTCTCACTCTTGTCAAGTAATTATCTGGATAAGCTATCAATTATTAACAAACGACAAAACCCCCTTTTAGTTTTTTACCCAGCATGTATTTCATAGAGAACACCTTTATCAATCCCTGGTGGATCAAACTCAAGAGTCATGTAGACCACAATCCTTCCTTCCTAAAGTGGTCAGCTGAGGCACGACCCCAGAAACTGGTATTCCATGGTATATTGCCTCTGAACACTTGACCACTTAAATCAATAGTATTGTAAAAACTGCACTCTTGCTGTTAGGAAAGGACCATGTAACACTCATGTGTTGCAAGGAAAGCATTTTCAAGGAGATTATGACCAGAGAACCAGCGACAAGTCTTGTGTGCTGTGTTGTCATATATGGGCCTAGTAAAGGGAGGCAATGAATAATCAGCATTTGGGGGGGGGTCTAAAAAGCAATGAGGATTGCCTCAGGGTTTGAAGGGATCCTGAAAAAAGTGCCCTCCCTTGGGACCCCTTGTCCATAAGTTGGTCCTGATGGGTAGGGCCTTTGAGGTGGAAGGAAATAGAGCTCTGAGCAATGTCAGGGGAGACTGGGCCTAGCGGCCATTTTAATTTGTCACAGTGGCAACAATTCACCATAGTCTCTGGCAGAGGTCTTTCACGTCAGCTGTTACCTTATAACTCCCTCCTTCCAAACTGATAAAAGTTCTCCTCCACAGCCTAAGAAGTTCACAATATCCATCCATATATTTAATCAGTACTTTGACGGCTGATATATCACAGATGCCTTTACACATTTTTATAACAGATCATGTCAGTCTCACTTGACAACTGGAACTTTTTGCTCCTGTGGCACAATGGGTCAGTGCATCTGGCTGTTGACCAGAAGGTCAGTGGTTCAAGTCAAGGGATGGCTGTGGGTAGGATTCCTGCATTGCTGGGGGTTGGAATAAATGGTCCTTGGGGCCCCCTCCAACCCTATAGTTCTATGATTCTATGATTACAGCTATTTATACTGCAATATATTAGTATCATTTGGTTGTAAGCAACTTCTTAATAAAACTCAATGAAATTGAAATTGGACAGGACCATCACGCTGCTTTAATGTGTACCTGAAACTGCACATCTGAAGCACCCATGGCAGCCAGAAGCATTAAACTATGACCATTAATTTAGGAGAGATCTAACAAATGCAATAGCTTTTACAAATCGAAAAATTAAAATCTGCAAAAGCAAGCAAATTGAAATAAGCAATTTAGGCCACTTTCATTTAGGATCATTATCATACCAAATCAAATGTGACAAATTCATTGGGTCATAATAATCAAAGCCATGGAATATTAAGAAGAGGATAACTGAACATTTGCTGCTGAAAGCCTTTTCTTCTTCTTACGGCAGTTTTGAGAGAATCAATCCATCTGTGTGACTAAGCAAGTATTAATTCATTTGTTGTGAATTTTGATCAGATTTTGAAACAGTACTAAAAATAATAATGCAGACCCCAAAAAGCATCCTTAGCATCATTTGTGTAAACACCCAAAGGGTTGTTTAAAAGGGCTCCAACACTGATTTGTGCACTCTTGGGCTGTTGCTTTGCCCACAAAAGCCACCGGGATCCTATGATATGCGGCTTTGAAATTCAGTTTCCTATTCCAGGCACTGGTGTCGTGCAACCTCAATTCACCTTGCAGGAACATTGGAAGGTGCCTTATATCAGACTGGCCTATTTATCCATCTAGCCTGCTGCTCTCTGCACTGCATGACACTGCTGTCAATCAAATTCTGAGCCCTTCCCCCCCCCCAATATTATTTGATCTTTTTAGCTAGAGATGTCAGAAATTTAACCTAGGACCTTTTGCATGCAAACCAGATGCTCTGCCACTGAGCTATGGTCTGCCATGCTCTGGTCCAATGCTGACTCCCATAGAGAAAGTGGCAAGGCTGCCAAACCATGGACAGCTCCAAGTGAGCAACTTGCTCTGCCAAAGGTTGGGAGCAGACTCTGTCTCCAGACTACTTCCTTCAGGCTCCACCCCCTTGTAGGGGACTTCAAAGCTGTAAAGGGCCGACCTATGACCTGAAGATGGGCATTCTGTCTCCATCCCATAGCCTCCCCACACTGTGTGGTGGGAGGCATCAGGTTCCTCAGAGGAAGGTGCCTGTGAGAGTTTGGGCTCTGGCCTTACAGGCCTTTGTGGTATTGGAGGTTCCTGCCAACAACCTCATGTGCAATTGTCTCCCTACCTTCAGCACTCAGCTCTGAGCCCCAAACCTGACCTGGGTCCCCATTTAGTGCCTCTGAAGGCTTCACCCCAAGTTCAGATTACTGCTAGATTTAGGGGGCATGGTGTGATCCTTCTTAATTTTTAATGTTGCCGATATAGGCTCTTCACTGAAATTAGATGCGTAGAGACATAGCTACCTACACAAATTCTTGTGGGGTGCTCCCCCTCTAAGGCGGGGAAAGCTTTGCTTCTTCTTTGCATTAGCTTCCTATGATCTCAGGATCATGGGTTTGAGCCCCTGTTGGGCAAAACGATTCTTGCATTGCAGGGGGTTGGACTAGTCAACCCTCAGGCCCCCTTCTAACTCTACAGTTCTATGATTCTATTATTCTAACAACTACACAGACTTGTCTCTGAGCCCATTGCTGACTTTCAGTTCCCCCCACCCCATGCTTAATGCAAGCTTTTAGCTTTTAAAAATAGTAATAATTCCAGTGTACATCTGGCCAGAAAAGGACAAATGCAGATCCCCAGTGGCCTTGTCAGTCAAGTTGTGCACATCAGCATGCACCTTCTCTAGAAAATGATAGTGGTGCTATTTCTTCCCAGGAGAATTGTACTATTAGAACTCACAATGCAATTAAAATCTGTACTGTTACAGACCTGAAGGTTTAAAGATCAGTGTGTCAGTATTAATAGTTTTAATGTGCCCTAAACAAGCTCTTTATTACTCCTTTCACCCTAAGTCTGTATATTATGTGTATCTTAGGAGGAAAACAGGCATTTGTGTTGAAGGGTTGCCCCCAATGACTGTGTTGCTCAGTAGTAATGTTGGATGCCAGCAGGAAATTCTGACCTTAGCTGTATCCCTGGTACAAACCAACTACTTTTCTTGGTTCAGGTTTCTTACAATGATACATCTGCTTCCATTTGACTCTTTCAAGGTAATAGAGCAGTCTGCTGACAGAAGACTCTTATTAACCTTGGTTTAGAGCAGTTCATACCCCCCCCCCCAGCTCTCAACTCTGTTCTTTCATGCTACCATGAACCCAAAACCTTTTAGTTAGGATCCTGGTGCTTTAATTAGTTGAAGTGTTTGTTTCTGACCATGTGTAAGAGGCAAATCGATTCACTCAGCTTAGTAAACTTTGAGAGAAAGTGTGTCACTGACTAGGAAACAGCGCAGGCAAGAAAGGTGGACAAAAACTTTGTTGTTTAAAGCCCGATAAATATATTCTTCTCCTTACTTGCTAAAAACCAAATAGGACATTTTGCCTGGTAGCAACAGTGAAGTGAAACTGACATGCACAATGTTCAGTTCAGTTCACACTGGCTCCCTTTAGAGTACCAGAGAAAATAATGAGGAACTACAGCAAGTTTGTAAAGTTCTTTGATAAATGGAGTGATAGAAATAACAACTGTTTTGGTTTGGGTTTTTTTGGGGGGGGGGTTAATGCCAGGAAGAGACCATATCCTTCTCATTCACAATTGGCTTGAGAATAATAAAACAGAAGGGGGATTCACCAAAGGAAACTCTTCTTCATTTTCTTTGTCAATGGGGTGGGAGATAAGGGTCCTAATAAGGGCAAGAAAGTGTTTCTTGCCCCCCGCTCCACCTGCAGCTTTCTGCTATTCAAGTTTCCTTTGAAACTCAAGTCTGCCCACCTCTAGTAGCAATGGAGCTAGTATCTCCAAGTCCAAATCAGGCCAGATAGATTAATAATGGGCATAAATGACAGGATCCACTTCTCCTGATTGAAACTGATTCACAAGAAAGAGCCACTAGAGAAGGAAAAGCAGGAATTGTTCCTTTGGCCAGGAGCACACAGTCAGGGCCAATTCATCATTGGGCATGTGATGGCCACTGGCCTTTAATCTGCTTGAAACCTGGGCATGCCTTAGCCCCCTGCCTGCAAAGAACCATTTGTACAGGGCAACATACAAGCTCAGCCTTTTCTTTTTCACTTACAGCCATAAACCACTCTGAATGAGGGTTAGCAGCAGCGTACCCAAAGCACACTCCTCTGCATAGTCACAACAGACACAATAGGAAACCAGCTACTGCAGTGGTTTAAAAGGTGCTTCTCACTGCACAAGTGTGATATACCCCTTCCTTCCTAGAAAAAGAAGAGAGACTTTTCCTTCTATCTACAAAGGTAATTCTGCCTATTAGTATGCAAGTGAATCCAAGTGGCACATTTCTCTCTCTCTCTCTCTCTCTCTCTCTCTCTCTGGGAGAAATAAGTCTGCTGCACACATTTATATGCCTGGGTTCCTAATCATGGGGAAAGGACAGGGAGACTTATGAAATCCACAAAACCCCAGCCGTGGCTCCCCACAATTTTAGCCAAATCATGCTTTCCCTGTGCCCTTCAGTATCAGCTTCAGTATCAACATTTACTGCATAATGCTCAGTTTATTATATCAAAGACCTGTCTATTCCCCCCCCCCCCCCCAAGTTCATTGTCTGCTAATGGAAGGTCATAAGAGAACAGCCTAATTAGGTCTCTCTTGGCACGAAGTTTCAGAACCTGGGAGCAGATACCAAGAAGGCTCTTTCACATATTGGTGGGACTTCACCCTTGTGAAGAAGGATCTCTCCACCAATCTGAAAATCTGGATAGCCTCATATAAGAGAATATGGTATTTCAGGTTACTTGATACACAATGAATAAGCAACAGTCAAATCATAATCCTACCTAAGTAGTAAATGAGTACTACTGCTTACCGCATTACAGTACAATCCTAAACATATCTACTCAGAAGTGTGTTCCACTGGGGTCAATGGAATGTATTCCTCGATATATGGATATAGGTTTATACAGTAAACTTTACACAATTCAGACCTCAGTTTGTCCCAGCAAAATTTCAAAGGCTTCTTCTCTTGTTGGATTTATTTTATTCATCATTCTTAGTATTATAGTTACTTAATACAAATTGCCTGTCCAAAATAGTCGACAGAATGGTTACCATTCCACCTCATAAGAACCCTTATGAGTTATTTGAGCCCCTTTAAAGCATAAAAATACAGTTATGTTTTACATTACCATAGGATTGAAAATGTGCTAAATATCCTAGAGTTCTATCCTCCTTTTCCTAAAAAGAGCACCCCAGTGAGTCTTGAACTATTTCACTGAAATATATGCGGCAAGTGCAGAGTACCTTTGGATAGCATATGAGGCAGAAATAGCTAAGAAGCTAAATGACTCTTTTTACTCAGCATTCAGCTGGGAGACATAGGGACATGTGCCAGATTAGGAGATAAATTACCCGGGGGCAAAAAATTAAAAATTAAACAAAACTCAAGGCGACATCCAGAACATGTCAAAAACAAATAAAATGGACTGAGGGCAACTGACAGTGGTCCTAGCTCCAGTACAGGGCTTGACAGCTGGCACCTCGGGAATGTGGATAGAATACAAATTACTGGTGCTGTAGATTTTTCACTTCTTACTAGAATAAAGTGATGGAGAAGCAGTCTACACACACACACACACACACACACACACACCAAACAAAATCTGCCCAGTCAATCAAGAGCTCTTTCTTTGACTCACTGCAACCACCTGATATCATACTTACAACTACAATCTTATGCGCAATTTTCACAGCTTAAACTCTATTTTAGTCAATGGGATTTAAGCAGCCAAAACCATGCACAGGATTGCTCTCTAGGTTACCATGTCTA